TTGGACTCAAAGGCAATCGATTATCTTTCCTGGCTTTAATGCTTCTTCCAAATGGACTCAACGGTGATGCTTTTGGTGATGATCTTGCTTTTACCGGCGAGTTCCCTGTAGATCTCAACTTTCCTGAACCTGAATTGATAATTTTAACTTGAATCCTGTAGAGTCAGCATTTGAAAAAGTGTGAGAGAGAGAGAGGTGAATACTAGTAGACTACTTACCTAAGCTTGGAGTTTTCTTTAGTGCTGACACCTTTTTATGGGGAGCTTCTGAGTAGACTGATCTTGTATTTGAGTATTCAGATATTGTATCTAGACACAAGGATCTTGTATCTCTTATCATCATGGCAATAGGTGGATCTTCAACCACTGAAACGCTTTCTGAAGATTCGCTTCTTGCCTCTGAGTTACCGGTTTCTTTGGAGTTTTTTTGGATTCATCTTCTCTCTTTCGAAAACCCTGTAAGAGTATAGCTGGAAAGGGATCTGAGTCACGGAAGCTGCGTGACATCCTGATGAGTGATCACCTGGAAACTTTCTCAAGAACCTTGCTTCCAAGTCCCAACAATCAACAAGCAGAGTTTGCATCTGAGGGTGACCGTGATCTTGATTCACAACAAGAAACTTCTTGATGTAGCGTAGTATCCTGCAAATCGAAGAGAAGTTTGGACGCTGGCTCGGTTCTGTGTGCCAACACCGTTTGATCAGACTAACCAAGTATTTCGGTGAAGGGAAAGAGAACAGTGGTCTCTCTCCCATCCTAATGTTGATAGCCATTTTCTCACCTTGAAGGTGACTATCTTCAAAAGGGACTTTACCTGTTATAAGCTCAAAACACACCATTGCAAAGCTATACACATCAGCCTTGTGTGTCAGCTTCGATTTCGGATCAGTTTTACCTTGTTGTTCCATCTCTGCTAGAACCTCAGGTGCGTACCAGATCACAGGATCAGGAGTGTTTGGTCGACTACTAGAGGAACAAGACTTGACAGAAGATAAACCGAATCCAGAGATTTTGGCATGGAAATAACCATCTGTGTGACTTCTTCTCTTTCAAAAGAATGTTCATGGGTTTAAATCTCCATGCAAGATATCGTTTCCGTGAAGATATTCCATTCCCCTTGCGATCTGCAGCATGATATCAACCAAGACGGAAACCGAGAAGAGATATCTTCTTCTTGGTCCACAATTCTCCTTCATGTAGCTCTGCAGATATTTGTGCATCAACTCCATAACCAAGAAGCATTCTTTCATCTCTTCATCATATAATCCGCAGAGATACTGAAGTATGTTGGAATGAAAAAGAGCCAACAGAGAAGAGATCTCAGAGCTTAGAGGCTCAAGATCGCTGAAAAAATGCTTCACCGCAAAAACTATCACCTAACCATTGAATGTCCTTGTACTGTCCATCTGCAACTAACCACTTTCTCACCTGGTAATCCTTTGAGCCAAGCAAGATCGAGCTCGAGAACAGCTTCCCGTTAAACTGCTCCAAACCGGTTAGTTTCTTCAGAAGCAGATCAGCTAGACGATTCTCTGTCTTTCCAACACCATCGCTGTCTGATTTCCTCTTCTCTTGCAATGCCTCCACAAGATTCCATCTATCTTTTCTCCAAGAATGCTCAAACCGGCTGCAAATGTCTCTAGGTACCAGATACTGTTTCCCAAACCTCCATTGGAAAAGCTTAGAATTATTCCACTCTCTGTCATACTTTCTTGAGAAGACAACTCTCTTTCTCTCCATCTCTGATGGGTCAAGCCCAGAAATCTCACCGGCTGCCTCGATGGCTTCAACAACCGCCGGGAAATAACAGAACAGGTTGTGTATGTGAAACTCAACAGAGTCTTTGTTCTGATGAAGGTTTATGACTTTGCCCCACCAATCGGTACTGTCCATACAATGCTTGACATACAATTCTCCTTCTTTGAACACTCTGTAGAGAGACTATTTGGTTATATTATGCACTTTGAGTTTGCTTAGTTTGTTAAGATAAAAATAAACGTCATATGTATATCATTATTATTTTTTTTATCAACAGTTTAAATATCTAAAACGGTTTAACTAACCAAATCGAAAGTATTGAGTTTGCAAATTACGTCGTGAGGTAGACACGAACACTAGCTAAAGTGACTGGTATATCATATTTTTGTGTGTATATCATACATACATAAATTACGTAGTGAGGTTGGATGTGTATATCATATTTTTGTGTATATAAATCATACATAAATTACGTCCTATGTATATCATATTTTTGTGTTTTTCTTCATTTCTTGTGCCAAAGTGACTGGTAGCTAAAATTTACCTTTCACTAGATAATTTTTCCGCATTTTGCGTGGACTGATATAATTTTCCATTTGGTTGTTTGGAAATTTAATAGTAATTTGGATTCATTTGTTTTTTTATTCTCTTTTGTTGAGTATATTTTTTTGTTAGATTTCTTTGCATTTTAATATTTGAAAACATAATCATCAAAACAATATAAAAGAGAGTAAATAAAAACATATTAGTATCCAAATATAGTTGAAATAGTTTTGAGATCTTTTGATCATTGTTCTATGTATTTTAGACGTAGTTTTTTTTAAATATCGTACGAACTTATTCGATTTTGATTATTATTTTATGTATTTTAGACATCACAAATACCCTCATTTCATTAGACATTCCATTGATTGATTTTTACTTTTTCGTTAGATTTAACTAAATATCAATTTTATTAAAATTGAAAAACAATATTGACAATAAAGTGAAGTATTAAACCATAATAATTCAGACCAAAATGATTTAAGTTATTTTTTATTTAATACTTATTTAAAAAACATTATATGTTTACCTGATGACTCCATGAGTTTTTAGTTAGAACGAAAAAGAACGAATATGTTAGACAATTTTGAAAGTTGTGAGAGAAGTAGAGAAAAATGTCTGATATTTATACTAAATCATAAGAAATCGAAAACCCTATAAACATAAGAAATTGTAAACATTAACCCATATATTATAATAATTAGAGACATTTCATTAGTTAGAGATGATTTCTTTTTCTTTTTTTTTTAAATGACATTTCATTAGTTAGATATATAGATTTTTTTTACTTTTTTATTAGATATATTTTTTTTTAATTTTGATTTTTTTTTGTATTGAAACGACACTCCATTACTTTTTAAATAGATCTCATTTTTTGTTTTTTTAACAATATTGTTAAATTTTTTTCTAAATTTTGGAAACATAAGAAATGGTAAACACTAACCTATATATCATAATTATCGAGAACACTAACTTAGATCTATTTGTTTTTTAAAATGGTCGATGGGCTTTATACATTATTCCATAAGAGATACAGATTCCATTTTTTTTTTTAAGTTTTGTTATTTATTTCCTAAATTTTGCTACTATATAATTTTAAAAACGGTTTGATTGAGTACAAAATTAAGCATTAAATCATAATAATTTAGGCCAATTTTTTTTTATTTCAAAAACACAAGAAATGGTAAATTTCTAGATTTTTTGTGTTATTTTGAAAAAAACAGTTTTTGTTTTTTTCTTCTTCTAAATTTTGGTATATATAATTTAAAAAATGATTTGATTGAGTACGAAATTAAGCATTAAACCATAATAATTTAGAACGGTTTATTTTAAGTTTTTTTACATGTCATGAGATAAGAACGAATCAAAAAATGACACGTAATTGGAAAATAAGGTTAAACGGTCTTTTTGCAGGTGAAACTCATTTTGGAACTGACACGTAAGCGAAATGCTTTGAAACTCGTTGTGAGCGCTTTAAAACTCGCTGTGAGCGCTCTGAAACTCGCTGTGAGTGTTTTGAAACTCGCTGTGAACGCTTTGAAACTCGTTGTGAAGTTGACACTTAAGCAAATCATTACACAAATAAATATATAGATATGATAAAAAAAAATGATTTACGATATGATATTTTGAGGTTATCCAAAAATGTGGTATATAGATGTTCAAATTGAAAAGTAATTCGTTATTTCGTTATCAACATTATTTGTTGGAGTTGTTGAAGTTTTATATGTATTGCATCTAACATTTTCAGACTACATGTTTATTTTTTTTAGTCACATATACATGTTTGTGTAGTTTAGTATATCATTTTATCCCACCATCTATACTATTAAAAGAGAGAGGTGTTTTGTATCCAAACAGAACTTTTACTTGGTTTCCTACTATTATGTTCTTGGATAACTGTTGCCAAACAAATATACTGATTTAATTTTAATTTATCAAATAAGTTATTTAGTGTAACATTAATAAAATAATGTATTTTTATTTATATTTTAATATAAATCTGAAATTTAGTTTCTGATTTAGATTTGTTATAGATTTCTTTAAATGTAGGTTATATCATCAAAAATTATAAAATAAGTTATTATTATATTTTTACAAAAATAATAACCCAAATATTAATTTAAATTTAATTTAAATATTCAATGACAGAGATGAAAATAATATATTATTATATATTTTATTAAATAAGTCTAAAATTTAAATATTTCAATTTAATAAATATTAAAATATATAAATAATATGAACAAATGTTAAATATTTTAATAATCTCAGTCCTTTTTGGATTAATATAAATGAACATGTTATAATGACGTTTTATATTTATGGTATTTTTCAGATAATGTGAACAGACGGACGAATTAGAATAATATTTTTCTAATCGCGATCATATATAATACTAAAAAAAAAATCAATAGAAACAAATTATATTTAAACCAAATTTTTTTATCATTCGTTAGAAAATTATATAGAAACAAAAACGAAAGAAAAAATTATATTATATAAAAAAAATAGTTTCATGCGTACGTACGGAATAGAATCTAGTTATTGTCTTTAAAAAGAATTTTATAGGCAACTGAAATTTCGAAATAAAGACAAATTTTAAAGAAAAAATTTATCATCTATTAAAACTTTCCAAACATGTAATACTTGGTAATATCGAAATTTCAAGAGAGGATAATTTTTTTGGGAAAGTCTGGAAAAAAAACAACAAAAGTAAATGAAAAACGAAAAAATAAGAGTAAACAACTCCTCTACAACAAAACTTCATCTCCTAGAGGGAATCTAGGGTTCTAGATTCATCTCTTCGTTCCCCTGGGATTTTGTTTTTTCTTCTTCTTCCCATGGATCTCGAGCTTTTCCGATCTTCCTAGAAAAGCTCCTATTTTCGTACATTTCGAGTAACGGAAACGGAAACGAGAGAAAAGAAAAACAAAATCAAGCTCAAAGTCTAGATTTCATGGCGAAAACTCGACCTGGTGTCGCTTCTTCGAAGAGCACGCCGGGAAAGAAAGAAATCGAATCGTATACTATCAGAGGCACCAACAAAGTTGTTCAAGGTACTTCCATTTCAACTTCTATCTGCTTTCTCTACAAAACTAAAGAACCACTCTTTTTAATGTTTCTTTTTTTTTCTTTCTTCTGGGTAATTTGGTTGCGATTAGATTTCTAGAAACAAGGAATTTGCTAGAATTATTAGGTTTACGGAGTCTGTATAATCTCATTTTCACTTTGGTTTTGGATGCACGTTGGTCTACTTTGTTACATTCATTCAAAAGGGAAAAATGTATCCTTTTGTATCAAAATGTTTGGATGCTAGATCTTGATTCAATGAAGCTGTGTAAATTACACTTTGGAAAGTGTTATCTTTAAGTAGTTTTCGCTTTTAGGAGTATGAAGGGACTTTTGACAGTATTGTACTGGGAAAATGTGTGCTTTGATTGGTGACTAGGTGAAGGTTATGAGTAAGAGTATATGCATTAGTCTGAAAAAAAGGAAACGTGCTTTATGTGGTTGCTCTTGTACATCATTTCATTTGAGTGTTTATCTCTTTGTTTAGATGAGAGAGCGTGCGTGTATCTGTTATATGTGTGGAATATAGATTTTAGTTAATTTTAGCATGATAAACTTGGAAATGTGATTGTTGAATGCAGCGGGAGATTGTGTGTTGATGCGTCCATCGGATGCTGGTAAGCCTCCTTATGTGGCGCGTGTTGAGAAGATTGAAGCTGATGCGAGGAACAATGTGAAGGTTCATTGTCGATGGTATTACCGTCCTGAAGAGTCACTTGGGGGAAGGAGACAGTTCCACGGAGTTAAAGAGCTGTTTATGTCTGATCACTACGATGTTCAAAGTGCACACACCATTGAAGGAAAATGCATCGTACACACCTTTAAAAATTATACGAGGCTTGAAAACGTTGGAGCTGAGGATTATTATTGTAGATTCGAGTATAAGGCTGCTACTGGTGCATTTACCCCTGATCGAGTTGCTGTGTAAGTAGATACAGTAATGAAACACGCCTTTCATTTTTTTTTTGTCTTCTCTCCTGTAATTTCCATGAGTTTTGATTACCTTTGTTTGGATTTTACTCGATTCTGAAGGTACTGCAAATGTGAAATGCCGTATAACCCTGATGATCTGATGGTGCAATGCGAAGGGTGCAAGGACTGGTAAATGCTAATGCTCATCATTCTATTTTCTCCTCGTTTGCAATGATGAATGCAATGTAGAACAACTTGCTTGTTTAAATTTTGGATCTAAATGGTCCCTGGTCTGCTCCTTTAGTCTTGTTATTATGAGTTGTAAGAGTTACTACTTTGTCATTGTAGGTATCACCCAGCGTGTGTAGGCATGACGATTGAAGAAGCGACGAAGCTGGAACACTTTGCATGTACTGAGTGCAGCTCTGATGAAGATGTCAAAAGATCTCAGAACGGGTTTGCTTCATCGCCAACCAATGATCTTAAGGTAACTTTTGTCTTCTTTCTTCGTTTCACTTCTTTTATCAACTGCTTTCTATTACTATGATAGCATCCATTTACTCCAATTTGAGATCTTAGTAAAGCCACAAAACCAAAATCTCATTGGCTTGATGATTGTGTCTGCTCGAGTGAATAGCAATAAGAGAGGATTTGTTTGTCAGACATTGTTGATCCCTAAGACTCTTTATTTTCCGGATTTGCAAGTTCTGGTGTTAACAGAAACTTGTGTTCAGGTGGAAGCAAAACGCAGAAAAAGATGATCACGGGGGAGACTTGAGAGCTTCTTATGGTGGATGATAAGTTAACTTGAAGCACTTTACGTGCAGATTTTAGTTAATTAGAGTTTTTTCTTGGCCTCGTTTGATTTTGATGTATGAGATGTGAAAAATGAGAGAGAAGAAGAACCAGAGAAGGTGCCAAAGAGCTGTATAGCCGTACGTTAAATTGTTTCACTGTGGCCTTGCTTGTTTCTGAGAGAAAGAGAGAGAGAGATTCAAAACATGAACAGACAATTCAGGAAGTACAAACATTAGATCCCTTAACTCATTTGAGTTGGAAAATTTGTCTTGCTAACCGGGTTGGCTTATACCGGTTTTCATTTGTATAAGCTTGACCGGATTAAATGGCTAAAATGCCATAAATTGAAAAAAGTTAATCTGCTGTGCCATAAACAAGTCTGTGTACCATAATACATATGTAATTCTTATTTTACCCTTAATGAAATTTTTTGTGGCATTCCTGAATTTAATAAAAAAGTGATTGATTTTATTTAAATTAAAATTAATAATTTAAAACGAAATTAATTTCAAAAATAATTTCAAAATTTTTTTTTCTGTTTCTTCTTCTTCGTCACCGTTTTGTCGATGGATTCTGAAAACCACTAAATCTTATTCTCGCCGTCAAACCCTCGCCTCTCCTCCTCTTCTTCATCCTCTGTAATCACTTTATTGTTTTTATCTCTTCTCTCCACCACCATTGTTGAAGTTTCAAACCCATTTAGGTTTTTGTTTGGAAATTTGGGGATTTTACAATTTAGGGATTGAATTTGTCAAAATTGCTTGTTTGGTATGTAAATCGGGTTGGTAACCTAGTTTATATGATGATTAGGTCTTTGCATAGATAATTTATCAAACATAGTTGTTGAATCGTAGTGACTCTTAGGTAGAAAATCCGAGTTCATCACCAAATCTGCAGAAGAGGACAACTGGTACGAATGGTACAACTAAGAGATAAGAGGACTACTAGTACAACTGGTACAACTATGAGATAGGGGACAACTGGTACAAATATGTATAACTAAGACAACTTAAATAATTGTTGATTGAACATTCTTCTATTATAATTGAAAATCGGGTTGGTAACCTAGTTTTATATGACGACTAGGTATTTGCATGAATACTTTCTTAAATATAGTCGTTGAATCGTAGTGATTCTTAGGTAAAGTATAATTATATCTGAGTTTATCTCCAAATCTGCAGAGGAGGACAACTAGTACAATTAGGTACAACTATGTACAAAAATTGACGGCGCACATAAGTGCACATGTTATTTTGATGGATAGTGACACTTAGGTAAGTCAATCTAATCTAGAGAATTTCATTTTTGGCAGAGAATACTTTCTGGATGGAAATAAACAAGGTACAACTGGACACATATGTACAATTATATGCAATTCTTTCATTAGAAAATAATAGTGATAAACTATAAATATAGAAAGCAAATATTCACTTAAAATTGTAAAAAATTTGTAAACTATAAGGAATAAATTAAAAAGATGGATAACATGAAATTTATCATTTTTCTAATACATATTATTGGTTTCACATCGAACACCCCTTATGATACAAAGAAGACTTTAATAATGTTAACAATCTTATGATGGAAAAGAGACAAAATTGTGATTTTGGATAAATTGTTTATGAAAATGTTGTAAATGGACTACAATAGTCAAAAATCATGTGGACAACTACAAAATAATAATTTATATCAAGGGACAACTGGAAAAAATACTAAAATTGTCAAAGGACAACTATGAAGAATTTTGGACAACTGGACAACTGAGTACAACTATGTATAAAATTAACGGCGCACGTGGTACTTTGACTGCGCACATGTCCCTTTTTGTCGGCGCACGTGCGTCTACGACTGACAACATAGTTGTACCTAGTTGTCCAGTTGTCCAAAATTTGTAATAGTTATCCTTTGATCGATTTTGTAGTTTTTTCAGTTGTCCTTCAACATAAATTATTATGTTCTAGTTGTCCACAAAAATTTCGAACATTATATAGCAGCCCCAAGGGTTTTGCGTCATTATTTTTCTATTTCCTATATTTTGGCATAGATGCTTGCATAAGATGGATAACATTGTCAAAGACTTCCTTATAACATAAGGGTTATTTCAAGTGAAACCAATAATATTTGGTTCTTTGAACAAAACAAAGTTTTATTTTATTATTTCTAGTATAGACGTGAAAAGATACAGTTATTAGGGTATGGGTTATATTGGCTTTTAAGTAAATAATATTAGGAATTTATTTTTTAACACTACAATTGAAATATAGTTGTCCCAAATTGCACCTAGTTGCCCTGGAGAAATTCAAAATACAAATAACTCCAAATAAATAGTAATGCAAGAAATCAAAGAAATCCAAAATATAAATAACTCCAAAATAAATAGTAATGCAAAAAATCAAAGAAATCCAAGAAATTTAAAATACAAATAACTCCAAATTACTCATGTACACACTAAGACTGAAATAAGTTGAATCTGAAATAAGTTGAATCTTTCATTCAGTTGTACCTTGTTTTTAGATTAAGGAGTTATAGATAATTGTTTATATGTGTCTAACTGTACTTTGTTTATCCCTATTTGTGAAAGATTTTCTCTACTAAAAAGTGGCTATCGAGAATGAAAATTCTTCGGCTAAAATGTAATTTCATTAGCTAATTTAGTTTCCATGCTACTTTTGCTCTGAAACCACTTATCTAATTTATTATCCGTTTTGTCTTTTGGCAACGTTTTTTGGAGAATAAAAACCACTTTTTGATTTTTTTTTTTTGGTGTAATTCGGCAGTAAGACAAAAATTCTTGTATATTATCAGAAATACTCCACTTAGTTTCATTTATATGTGCAATTCATTGTCCACATAAATTATCTACTCTAAAGTTGTTTAGTTTCATATATCGCAATCTTCTTACATACAATATCTTATCTAGTAATACCGAATAAGTTATCTGCCCCAAATATGAGGTATTAAATGATATAAAATCTATTGAATTGCTTGTGTGGCTGATACTCATTATTTCTTGAAAATATAGTAAACAATTCTTAATTAACAATTATTCAAGGTGTCTTAGTTGTAGACTTATATCCATTTGTACTAGGTGTCCTCTATCTCATAGTTGTATCAGTTGTACTAGTTGTCCTCTTATCTCTTAGTTGTACCATTCGTACCAGTTGTCCTCCTCTGCAGATTTGGTGATGAACTCAGGTATAATTATAATTTACCTAAGAATCACTACAATTCAACGATTATATTTAACAAATTATCCATGCAAATACCTAATCGTCACATAAAACTGGGTTACCAACCCGATTTGTAATTATAATAAAAGAATTTTTAATCAGCAATTATTTAAGTTGTCTTAGTTATACCTTTTTGTACCAGTTGTCCTCTATCTCATAGTTGTACCAATTGTACTAGTTGTCCTCTTATCTCTTAATTGTACCATTCGTACCAGTTGTCCTCCTCTGCAGATTTGGTGATGAATTCAGGTATAATTATAATTTACCTAAGAATCACTACAATTCAACGATTATATTTAACAAATTATCCATGCAAATACCTAATCGTCACATAAAACTGGGTTACCAACCCGATTTGCAATTATAATAAAAGAATTTTTAATCAGCAATTATTTAAGTTGTCTTAGTTATACCTATTTGTACCAGTTTTCCTCTATCTCATAGTTGTACCAATTGTACTAGTTGTCCTCTTATCTCTTAG